CACACATTACATACTTGATCAACTGACACACATTACAAACTTGATCAACTGACAACACATTATACACTTGATCAACTGACACACATTACAAACTTGATCAATTGACACACATTACAAACTTGATCAACTGACACACATTACAAACTTGATCAACTGACAACACATTACAAACTTGATCAACTGACACACATTACAAACTTGATCAATTGACACACATTACAAACTTGATCAACTGACACACATTACAAACTTGATCAACTGACACACATTACAAACTTGATCAACTGACACACATTACAAACTTGATCAACTGACACACATTACAAACTTGATCAACTGACACACATTATACACTTGATCAACTGACACACATTACAAACTTGATCAACTGACACACATTACAAACTTGATCAACTGACACACATTATACACTTGATAACTGACACACATTATACACTTGATCAACTGACACACATTACAAACTTGATCAACTGACAACACATTATACACTTGATCAACTGACACACATTACAAACTTGATCAATTGACACACATTATACACTTGATCAACTGACACACATTACAAACTTGATCAACTGACACACATTACAAACTTGATCAACTGACAACACATTATACACTTAACCATCCGACAACATAAACTTGTAAAAAAAAGTGAAGTTCCCTTTCAAACCTAACGGTCTATAGGGCAAGTGAAGTAGAGTTAACCTGTATCTGTGACCTCGGCATATGAAGAGATAGTGTGGTCAGCACTATGCCCAGCCGCCTTTACTTTCCCTAATCAGAGTTGGGTGGACTCAGTGACGTTCTACTGACTTGAATCGGAATTCGAACGGGTTAGCAGTCAAGCTCTCTACCGCTAGACCACTCCTTCCCCTAACATAAACTTGACCATCTTGCAAAACATTACAGTTATGTTGCTCATCCAAATCACCACAAACAATCCAGCAACCCATTCCCAACCCCTTTCACCCCCTTTCCCTATCTGCCATGTTTCTAATAAGTTATGGATTGAAAGTTGTTTAAGTGCTAATCATTATTTTTTGCCTAGAGGAATGTGAAGGATTAAGAAAAGCATGAAATGGGATGATGTTTTTTCTTCTCTCTAGCCGAAAATGTGTTTCAGCCGAAAGAATATTTTTATTGGTGGGGAATTTATGAGATACAAACACAAAACGAGCCGGTAAAACGGTTGAGTCTGGTGAAATGTTGCCCAGATTACGCGCAATGGTCGTCGTTACTTTAGCATGACACGAGAAAAAAATCTGGGGATTTTAAAGGTCAGCTGATGAAATGATGTCATTACTTGTAACGCCAGAGATTGATCGAAGTTTAATGAAGTTTAATGGTACGGAGGGCGGGGGGGGGGGGGGGACCTTGATAAGAGGGTTGTTGATGGAAAGGAGTGTTTAAAGCATGGGATTTTGATGGGAGGGGTATGTTGGCATTGTTGATCGGGATGTTGATAGGAGAGTGTTGTTGTTAAGTGTGGATGTTGATGGTTGGTGTTGATATGTGGGGATGTTAGTATGAGGGTATGTTTGCAAGATCGCCGTCTAGTTGGTTTTCGAACCAGACCCTTGTACTGTAAGGTGCTAAAAAAAGGATAAGCATCATTTGTGTTGTGTCTCTTGGTGTATATAACGTCCCCAGAACTAGTCGCCTCAGCTGTTTGCGAGTTGAACAAACCCTCCTGGACTCTTCTCTATCCAAGACATTAACGTTGCCATTAGTCCTTAACTTAATCCTGATCTAAACAGCGATTTCGGCTAAAAATAAAGAGCGTCGATACTATAAAGTATTATGTTAGCGGAATGTTTCATTAGAACCATAGATTCTTCAAAATAAAATCCAGCAAATGGTGTAATGCAGTGTGGATACGAATAAACGAAACAGAATAACATCTTACTAAACATTGTTAAGACAAAGGCTCTGACTAGTCACAAAACCTAGCGCAGCTGAATTGTAATCGTGTCGACCTTGTTTAGCTGGTTGAATGATTCGGGCAGGTTTTGCTGGCCACTCATCTGGCCAGATTTTTATGGCAAGTTTTAGTTTGTAAGTTCTCCTCATCAGCTGTCCGCGACTCTGTGGTCTACTGCACGGCAAATACACCGCGACTCTGTGGTCTACTGCACGGCAAATACACCGCGACTCTGTGGTCTACTGCACGGCAAATACACCGCGACTCTTTGGTATACTGCACGGCAAACACACGGCGACTCTTTGGTATACTGCACGGCAAACACACGGCGACTCTTTGGTATACTGCACGGCAAACACACGGCGACTCTTTGGTATACTGCACGGCAAACACACGGCGACTCTTTGGTATACTGCACGGCAAACACACGGCGACTCTTTGGTATACTGCACGGCAAACACACGGCGACTCTTTGGTATACTGCACGGCAAACACACGGCGACTCTTTGGTATACTGCACGGCAAACACACGGCGACTCTTTGGTATACTGCACGGCAAACACACGGCGACTCTTTGGTATACTGCACGGCAAACACACGGCGACTCTTTGGTATACTGCACGGCAAATATTGCACGGCAAATACCCTGCGACTTGTGGTATACTGCACGGCAAATACCCCGCGACTCTGTGGTATACTGCACGGCAAATACCATGCGACTTGTGGTATACTGCACGGCAAATACCATGCGACTTGTGGTATACTGCACGGCAAATACCCCGCGACTCTGTGGTATACTGCACGGCAAATACCCTGCGACACTGCAAATACCCCGCGACACTGTGGTATATTATGGTATACTGAACGGCAAATACCCCGCGACACTGTGGTATATTGTTGCTTACTGCACGGCAAATACCCCGCGACACTGTGGTATACTGCACGGAAAATACCCCGCGACACTGTGGTATATTGTGGTATACTGCACGGCAAATACCCCGCGACACTGTGGTATATTGTCATTCAGCCATATGTACAAAACAATCACCTCACGCAACCTCCCCCCCCCCCACCATTCCCTTCGTCAAAAATGTAAGCCTCCCCTTCTCCTACATACAATTATCTAATATCACGTTTGAAAGCTCCACCTTAACCCTATCTTATCCCCCCCCCCCCCCCCAAACACACACACAGTGCGGCTCTGGAAAAAATTAAAAACCGTAAGAAAAAAATGTTTTCAAATGTTATTTTTAAGGAATGCAAAGCTAAGCTGCTCTTATATTGTCTTAAATACCCTTCGTTCGGGTAGGTCCGTGACGTCAGGTAGGTGTTGACGTCTGGTTGGCTCATGACGTCATTTATCAAACACCCCCCCCCCCCCCCATCAGTTTACTAATTGGAAGATCAGTCCAGAGCATGCACCTTGTGGTCAGCTAAGAGTACAGTATCTGGTGCACAGATGTGCTGTGTTATCTGTGCTAGTTTGTCTGTGGCAGAAAATAAAAAGGAAATTTTTGATTGGCTTAAATGTTTTAAATAAAACAAAATACCACCGGATTTGTCAGTGGCTAGTTTTGACCTACAAAACCACAACTACTGTAATCAGTTATCTACAAAACAATACTACTGTAATAAGTTATCCACAAAACAAAACTACTGTATTAAGTTATCCATCAAACTGCCACTGCTGCATGTATCCACCATCATACCAGCTAGCCCACTTTAGAGACAATGATAAATAAAAAATGGTAACTATTTGTGAACTATGACCTAGTTATATCCAGCCCCACCCTCCACAGTTCCACAGTTGGCTTAATATTATCCAGCAACAACTAACATCCTGTTTGGTAGAGAAGAGACACATGAGCTTAAAATTATCTTTTCCCATTGCCCATATTTTAAAAAACCTCCCCCCCCCCCTATCTGATGCTTTAATGTTGATAAGGCCAAGTGTACATAAAAGAACTGGGTCAATGTTTATGTGTGTTCTTCTGCTAATGCCTGACATTTTTATTTTATTTTTAATCAATTGTCATAAATTTTGTCATGTCCAATCTTGCTCACCATCTGTTTTGCTCACTGTGTAGCCATGTAGTAAAACCACACCCAATCTGGTAAAACTCTCTGCCTCTGTTTAAATCATCTCCCTTCTGGTGAAACCACACCCACCTTGGTATAAACACATACACAACACTGAAACCACACCCACAATTATTAACCGGTTAACCTAATTATATTATTGTATTGTCTTACTAAAAGACCACATCTCTACTTATATATACCTTCTGTACTTATCTCAGTTTTGTATCACCATATCTTTCTCACTTTTGTACCACAATATCTGTCTTACCTCTGTATCACCACAACCTCCCACCACTGTATCACCACAACCTATCACCACAACCTCTCACCACTGTATCACCACAACCTATCACCACTGTATCACCACAACCTCTCACCACTACATCCCCCCTCCCTACAGCAACTATGTCACCACCCCAATCATTAGCTGTAACAACCAGACAAACGTAGAAGATATGTGTCAACTGTTATATTATGGATGGCACAACACCAAAAAATATCTGCTTATAAAGTTCAGCTGATGAATTGATAGTCTGTTTTTTTATGAAGGTCAACCAATTTTACAGTAAACTATTTAAATTTCTCACTCTAGGCAGCTGCTTGAAATATTTTCAAATGGCTGTTGAAACAGTTGAAACATACTATAGCTGTTATTAACACTATTTAAAATTTTCCCTTTGGTGATCTGTAAGACACACTTGTTAATTATTTACTTAATAAACAGATGTGCTGTAAAATTAGAAAACCTTTCTCCAGTAATTTGAATGAGAAGTTTGTCAGTTAATTATTAATACTGTGAACTATATAAAAACATATGTATTTTTATAAAATGTATTTTATTTCAAAAGTTATTTATTTATTTGTCCACCTATTATACTGTAACCCATACACAAATTTCCCCTCAGTGTTTTTATTTATATATCAACCATTTATACTAATTTGTACTGTAAACTATCAAACATTTCACTACCAGGGACCTGTATGAGAAGTTTGCCGCCATCTACCTGATAGAAAAACGTGTTGGCTCAGTCAAGATACCTGGGACATTTGTTTTCAAGGTGAAAGAATGGCTGGGCAACAAAAATGAGTTGTACGAGGAATTGTTCCGTCAGGTACTTCATTTTTATAGTGCTCTCCCTTTGTAATGTTCTACTTCAGTTAAGATCTAGACTGGTGGCATATTCAAATCTTTACAGCAAAGGTTATTTAAATAACTGTAAATGGGTTTCAGGTGGACCATGTTTGTTACTGGATTTGAATGTTTATTATTTTTCATTGTGATTACATTATACCTTTTTTGGCAGAATATTATCCACATAAGCAATATGTACACAAGGGAAACTACTGTATTTAACCCACTGAGAGACAAGAGGCCAGTGACAAAACCAAAAGAATCTGAAGAAGATTAGTAAGTTTTTGTCTGTTTTACTTTTTTATACTAAGTTGCTTTTTTTTTCTTTGTTCTTTTTTTTTTATTAAATTTTTTTTCAAGTTTTTTGTTTTGTTTTGTTTTTATAAAAAATATTTTCATAACTTAAATTGAAAACATTTTTCTCTTCTCAGCTTGGAGAGGATAACCAAAGAGTCTGCTGTTAACTGTGACTTCTGTAAATATAAAAAGTATGTTGCCTATTGCTTGTTTGTTTTTTCTTTATTTTTTACTTATTATTTTGTATTTCCTTGTTGTTTTTTTTTAAAAAGCTAGACTAATTTACCATGTGGCTTATAAGAAAAAACTATCAATGTTCCAATTTTCTTTGAGCTTACTTTTTCTAAATTTCATGGTTTTAAAAATATTTTGATTCAAGTGGTTTTAATTGAACAGATATTCTAACCTATTGTTCTCATACCACTTGAGTTTAACCTTTAAAAAATGGCATTAACTCCGTTTATATAAATAAACTGGCATTGTCTCCCTTGAATCATGACTATAAATGTCATTTTAATTTAACTGCTATAGCAAGCGGATAAATATGGTGTGGGAAAAAGAAATTCTAGATTTAATGTTGCTATTATAAGACCTTTATGTGCTATTAAGTTTTTTACTGCTGCGCATATTGAAGTAAGCGTTAGTTTGTGATGTTAAATGTTGTGTTAATCATATTTTTATTTTAAAACATGTTAAAAATGGATAAAATAGTCCAATTAAACTATGCTAATTATTTAATGAAAATGAAAGTGGGTAGGGGGGGTGTTATTGGAAACATCAACACATATATTATATTATTTATATTGCTCAACACTTTGTGAGCTCATTTTATGGTTTTGAGTGAAATCAGATTGTGGTTTTGAAGAAAAAGTTTCTATTGTATAGGTTTTAGTTGTGTATATAGCTATGGTTTTGAAGAAACAGTTGCTATTGTATAGTTTTTAGCTGTGTATTTAGCTGTGGTTTTGAAGAAACAGTTGCTATTGTTTAGGTTTTAGCTGTGTATTTAGCTGTGGTTTTGAAGAAACAGTTGCTATTGTTTAGGTTTTAGCTGTGTATTTAGCTGTGGTTTTGAAGAAACAGTTGCTATTGTATAGGTTTTAGCTGTGTATTTAGCGGTGTCCTGAGTGATGCACAATGGAAAACTGCCAACAGAAAACTAGACTCAAAAAAGTGTGCCTGGACATTTTTGTTTTCTTAAAATAAGCATTTATAGACATCAACAAAGAATGAACACATGTACATTGTTGCATTATAAAACACTTCCATGAAACATGGCAAAATTAAAATGTATTAGTATGATTGATGAGTGCTTTCACAGTTTTCTGTTGTGTAATGTTCAGTTTGCGCATTTCTATGAGAACCATATATAGCTTCTCCCCTTTCGTGGCATTTTTTTTTTGGAAAAATATTTTTGCTTTTTGCATCTAATTTTTTAGCATGGAAGTGTATCCAAACACCAGTAACACTTATAACTCAAATATTTCTATAAGCCTAGAGTTACATAACTTTTGTAGTTAGAATGATGTCCCTTTTTTTTTGTACAATATGAGAACCAAGATAAAGGGAGATTATTCTCATATGATCTTGTAGCTACACAGCCGAGGATGAGTTTGGCAGAGTGGAGTCAGAACTGTCTTTCACAGCCTCCAACATATTTAAGCTGGACCGCTTGCACGCTGTTGTGACCATCAAGGACCACGACCCTGTCAACTGGAGTTATGATCAGTATATGGACATGATGAGGCTGACTAATGTGTGGTGAGTTGTCTCACTTTGTTTTCTATATCACAGTGCTGTTTTGTTACTTGACTGAATTGAGATTACCTCCCCTATCTACAAGCATATGGTCTATAGCAGGGGTCTCCAAACTTTTCAGTCCGAGGGCCGCATTAACTATCAAATTTCAGTTTGGGGGCCAGTTTCTTCCTGGCATGTTTTTGATTTTTCTGGGCAAAGTTCCTCAGCTATCACCAACAAATGTTTTTCTGTGGACAAAAAGATATCCGCGAGCCGGATGAGAGGACCTTGGGGCCGCGTGCAGAATGGGGCCCATGGGCCGTAGTTTGGAGACTCCTGGTCTATAGAATGAGCCTGACACTAATTTTCTTACATGTTTTTATTACCTTTGACTTTAAAATTACCTCCCTTATCATCAGCCTCCAGAAGGCTTTTAGGAATGACGCCCATTTCCTCCCCTTTTTCCCCATTAGTTAGTGCTGTTTTGTTACCTTTGACTGCTTAAAGATAACCTTCACTATTCGCAGGCTTGACAAAGCCTTTAGAAAAGAGCCAGATACCAATTCCCTTGTTTCTGATATTTTAGTTTTGTTTTGTTACTTTTGAAAGTTTGTGAGATTACCTCCCCTATCCCCAGGCTTGACAAAGCCTTTAGGAATGAGCCAGACGCCATGTTTCCAGCCATCATATGGGATCTTCTACCCAAGTCTGGCTCCAGCCAGCTCCACCCACATGACCAGGTCTTCCTAAGTCCCAACAGATATCAAGGTAGTATGTTTGCACTTATTAACCTCTGTATTCCATCTTATTACCTAAACGTACCTCTCAGATTAAATTCAATAATTCTGATCTACTTAATGTATATTTTTCCAATATTACAATTTAATAAACTTTAAGAAAAATAAGAGTAAATAAATCAGAGTGCATCTGTTTGAGCTAAATATAAAAAGAAATGGAGGGGTCATCACTTTGACCAGCCAACTCAGTTTTCCTCTATGAGTCTGGTATCAGAGCTTGGTGTTCTTGGAAAGATCTCTCACACTTGATAATATAGTTAAGCTGTAGATGCTTGTTTACACTTGATACTTTTATTTTGTTTTCTTATCTCAGCATTTATTTTATACAGAAAGTTTTTAATGTCAACATTTACCTTATAAAGGAATTTTTCTAATGTCAGCATTCATCTTATGTAAAACATTTTCTGTCTGCATTTATATTGTTTAGGAATTCTTATCTCAACATTTATCATCGATAAAAGTTTTCTAATATTAGCATTTATATTGTGTTGGAATGTTTCTAATGCCAACATTTATCTTGTGTAGGAATATCTCTAATGCCCACATTTATCTTGTGTAGGAATATCTCTAATGCCCCCATTTATCTTGTGTAGTAATATCTCTAATGCCCCCATTTATCTTGTGTAGTAATATCTCTAATGCCAACATTTATCTTGTGTAGGAATATCTCTAATGCCCCCATTTATCTTGTGTAGGAATATCTCTAATGCCTACATTTATCTTGTGTAGGAATATCTCTAACATCAACATTTATCTTGTGTAGGAATATCTCTAATGCCCCCATTTATCTTGTGTAGGAATATCTCTAATGCCTACATTTATCTTGTGTAGGAATATCTCTAACATCAACATTTATCTTGTGTAGGAATATCTCTAATGCCCCCATTTATCTTGTGTAGGAATATCTCTAATGCCCACATTTATCTTGTGTAGGAATATCTCTAATACCCCCATTTATCTTGTGTAGGAATATCTCTAATGCCCACATTTATCTTGTGTAGGAATATCTCTAATACCCACATTTATCTTGTGTAGGAATATCTCTAATGCCAACATTTATCTTGTGTAGGAATATCTCTAATGCCAACATTTATCTTGTGTAGGAATATCTCTAATGCTCACATTTATCTTGTGTAGGAATATCTCTAATGCCCACATTAATCTTGTGTAGGAATATCTCTAATGTCCACATTTATCTTGTGTAGGAATGGTTGAGTCGTGGAGACGAGCAGCACAGGACTACTACAGCGACCTACACAGCAACTACTTCACAGATTTGATCACCATCTACTCCGCCTTAGGGCTGGCTGTGCCATTCAAGTCTGCTGTAGCTCTGGCCAGTCTGGTGGGTAAAAAACTCTTTATCAAGAGTATTTTCAGCAAATATTGTTACACTCTGCTCTTTTTAGAAGAGACACATGATGGTTATATACATTACTTTACTATTTAATGTAAATTTTGTTATTTATTTCATAATCTTATTTTTTATATTTATAAAAAAAAAATGTTGTTAATGATATACACTGCAAAATGGAAACATAATGACATTAAAAGAATAATAAAGCTAAAGTATATATATATATAAGTGACTAAGACATAGTAATGTTAAAAAAAAATCTTAAATGGTTGGACATAAATAGTTTTTTTTTAAATTGCAGACTCCAAGGAAAGACAACGAGGTGGTTATTATCGCCCCTGAAGCAAGTGATGACTTTTTTGAGCTAATTTATTATGTGTTGCGTGGTGAGTTGACTTTGACTGTAATACCAGCCCTTGTTAAGCTATATAACATATTTGTCTCATAATTTTTTCAAGAAGATTATATTAATGAGATATTACATTAAAATGACAAAAAAAGTGCTGTATTTTAAAATCTAGCTCTGGTAATCCTACACATTCCTAAATAACGATTGCGTTAATTGTCATATGAAGAAATGAAATCTTGTTACCCTTCCCAACCTAGCCATCCATGGGGTAAATGATGAAAATTTCATCTCTTTCTGTAAACATACAAAATGATAGTGTGTTCAGCAACTAAGGCTTTGGAAGTAAATTAAAAAAGAAAAGCAGGCTGAGTCAACGGCCTATAATCTGTATAACAGGTTGACAAGGAATACTTAATTGTGTTGGAGTAAATCCAGTCCAACATTATAATTAAGAACGAAGAAGTGTGGTCAGCACTATGCCCAGCACCCCTTATTTTTCCTAATGAAAAATAGTCACTCGTCAGAGCTGGGAGGACCCTGGGACATCCTACTAAATTGAGACCGGGATCTGAACTCAATAACTTTCGGGTTACCAGTCATAAGCTCTACTATCCAACCTTGCCATCCCATAATGAAAGGTCAAAGCTGTGTTATTACTTACCTCCCTTGTTTACTTGCAGGTTATATGGATGATCTAAAGAAATATTCTTTCTCTCTTGGGGGAGGCTACCCAGCAATGGTAAGCTGCTTCAGTTTTCATGTGAAGTTTGTAATTTGTCAAATGTAATGGCCTGCAGTTGATGAAAATATATCAGTCTGTGTCCATAACCTCTGTGAATGTGGTCAGAACCATACTTAACCACAGTACATGCCCTGGCTGACTGGGCTATGGATGTCCTGCTGATTCAAGGCTAACGCTTTGATTAGGATTGCCAGTATAGCACCAATACATTATGTAACTTGACTGCACCCTCCAGTATAAGCAGGCATAATAAAGATACACTCCTGGACTTGATGTTCACTAGGCCCTCGGTGTATGATTTTGACATTATCAGTTTGATGCCCAGTGTCTTTGTATTTTCCTTAACATTTTAGTTATAAAAATTGTCTTTTTTACCTGACAAGGCAAAAATTGTCTGTTTACCTGGCAAAAGAATTTATATTGTCACATTAAAAAGTTGAAATGTTTTGTTTATTTACCTTACAATATCAGATTATTTTGTATTTTCCTGACAGTATGATTGAGTATGAAATTGCTTTTAATTTGCAGGACAAAAATTGTAAGAATGGCCGTATACCTGCCTTCGTACGCATCATCACCAGAGGGGTGATGACGGAGATTAGAACAGATATAAGTGCTCTAGAGCTGTTTACTGTAAGACTCAGTTTTTTTTTCACTCAATTAAGTTTAAATGGTTTCAATATTTCTGCTATGTGATGATTTTTATTTTGACTATAGGAAACTGTTTTATTTTTCCTTGATTTGCTAAACAAAAGTTCGACTTATGTTACGATTCAAAAAATGTATTGCAGTTTTTACAAGAATTAAAATTTTGAAACAGTAATTTGCTGTTTTGACTCTTGTGATATTTTATTAATTGCTTCTCACACAGGCAACCAATGTCAACATAGACCCGTACAAGGTCGTTGCTAATATCAAGGAATCAATAAAGAAGAGAGCGCCCAGATAGAATCTACCAGCTGATTAGTCCTTTAACAAAATAGTGGTTGTGTTCTCCATTGCTTTCATTCGTTTGTGTTGATAATATTAACAAATTCACATTCCTGTATGGCTAGACTGGTAAAATGATGTTTAGCCATGGTTTTACTGTGCTTTAACCGTGGTTAAATTGTGGTAAAGCCATTGTTAAACACTATAAATGATGTTCAAACTTTGCAAGTTTAAAATTTTAGCAGCCACTGCATTTTTTGCAGAATTTATCCCATAGAAAATCATCCTTTTGGGGGAAAAAACATCCTTTTGAAACATCTTTATGTAAAAAAACATGGCTTCTTGTTTTAAATAAGAAAAATGTGTATCTTCAAAAACAGAATGTCATCTTTCATTTATGGGTATTAGAACAATGACACTGCTATTCTTTGATCTCAGTGGTAGACTCTTCAATAAAAAAAATTAAAAAACAGAGGTAGATAAACCATTAGACAGCCTTACGAAATCATTCATATTTGTTCATGACTTGTTGGTGACCAAGAGTTTATGGTCCATTGCTGCTTGAGAAAAAGAAACGCAGTCCTTTCTTGTATCCTGGCTTGTTGTGTGTGAGACGACTTGACTGGGATATATTAAACTGTATATAAACATTGTAGAGATCTGAGCTGTTTGTCTAGCGTAGATTCAAGTCTTAGCAGCACAGAATAAAGATGTGGCTCGGATGTTGGATCAGCCTGGGATACAGGATCTCATCCGACTCACCCTTACTATGATCTACATTTGAGGTGTATACTCATTCCTAAAAGCTATGCAATCCACAATTAGATTCAGTCTTTGTCACTTTTGTATAGAAATTTTTTTTTTTTAATATTTGATGAAATACAATGAAATACTTATCATCTTTTTTGAAAGATTACCATTTCAGTGTGCCATACTTGTGTTAGCTTTTGTAAAGCTACCATGATTAGTAACATCTTGTATATATATTTTTAATGCCAGGATTGTTTTCTCTGTTTTTGAAACCATTGTATGGAAACACCTGTTTGGTTATTGCAGTAAAAATTAGGTTTTGTATGCTGTCCTACCCATATCAGCCTGTGGACTCTGTGATATTTTTTGTCATCTTCTCTAAGATTTAACATTATTATGTATTAAGTTACAACATTTTTTTTTTAAATTTATACCAAAAAAAAATATTCATTGATATATGAATATTATTTAAAAAATTAAAGAAAGAAATTTTCAACATTTGAAGTTGAACTTATGCATAGTCTGGTAGTTTTATTTATTATGATGAGTTAAATGCAATATAAATTATCTTTCCCATAATTATGTGTTATTAGAAATTGGGTTATATTTTTTTTTAAATATTATTGTCTTCCATTACTTAACAATCTTTCTTTGTAAGTTTTAATTTATAACAGTTAAAAATTATCTCTTACCTTTTTTTAAATTTTCTGTTTATTCTCAAATCATTTTGTGATCTTGATAAATTTGATAAAATGAAATCCTTTCAGACTGAAACTTTAAACATATTTGTATCAAAATTTATTATAACTTCTAGAAAATTCTATGAAATTTTGAATTTTCTTCTTCATACTTACAGCATTTTTAAATGGCATATCATTGATAAGAAATCCAGCATAAATGTAAGCAGTTTCTGTATATTCAGACCTAGGTCTGTTTCAACTTAAATCATGTTTTGATTTGGTCTGAGAGATAACTTTGTTCGTATGACAGGAATTATTTTAAATGAAACTTTTGTTGTTTAAATGAGAGTGTTTATACCCTGCAATTTTAAACATTTGTGTATTTACGAGTTTGAAATTTAATATTACAAAAAATACCCAAGTAGTCTTCTTTTTGTATTTAGTTTTTTCAGGTTTTTGAATATTTTTTTATTTACTTTAATTCATTTTGTTTTGTGTTTTAAATTGTTCTGTGTTTCATTTGTTTTAAAACCAAAAACTTCATTGACCTGTGTTACACTTGTGTTATATTTGATAGGAGGGAGCCATGAAATTGTTATTTTTGAGGTATTTTAAAATTTGTTTTTATGCTGAACCAGTATAGTTTGTGAAACAGAAGCTCTATTCTATGTGACTTCATTTTAATTGGATACTAATCTAGTCCTTTGTTCACTGGATGGTTGGTTTTTTTATACTCATCCACTGGAGTGTAGTTTGACCCTCACCCATTGTTTGGTAGTTTGACACTCATCCATTGGTTGGTAGTTTGACACTCATCCATTGTTTGGTAGTTTGACACTCATCCATTGTTTGGTAGTTTGACACTCATCCATTGGTTGGTAGTTTGACACTCACCCATTGGTTGATTTTTTTACGGTGATTTTAAAATAAAATTTATACTTTTCTGTGAAAATTTGAACCAATTTTTTAAATCCATGAAAATTTAATATTATAATTTCATATTTTAAAATATTTTAGTCTTTAAATTACTTTTATTTTTAACTATTTTAAGAATATGTTTTACCCAAAAAATAATTTATTGCTTTGTAAATAAATTAGTTGAATCTAATGGGGCAACAGAATTTTTTTTAAACTAATGAATGTAGAGCATACATTGTACTTTGTTGAATTATTGTGGGTAGCAAGTTTAGCTAGATTTATTACTTTTTTGTGGATGTTGTTTGAGATATATAATTCTAACATAAGAAGTGTGGGTTTGGTGCACACAATGTGGTTAGTCCAGTTTGAGTGTGTTTCCTATCACTGAATGCAATCCGAAGCATCATATGGCTATAATTTGTTACTATCACATTATTATTTACATACTCTGTTTGTATCATATCATTATATTCATTACTTGCTAGTATCATATATCATATGATTATGTTTGTAGCTTGTTATTGTCATATGATTATGTTCTTAACATGCTAGTATTATATCATTATGCTCAGAATACTTCTTAGTATCGTATGTTTATGCTTGTGACGTGTTAGCATCAATATGTTCAAACCTTGTTAGTAGTTTTTTTCATTACCTCAGTAAAATGTTGAAAGTATGTAGAGTTACCTCATAGTCTGATAATTCAACACCAATATTCATATTTTCTGCATTTGTTTTTACAATTCAACCCAGCTCCCTACAACTGTTAATTAAAATAATATTTTTTAATTATAGGATATCTGATTAGGTTTCTTTTTTGCATCAAGAAACAATTGTGTCTCCCCATTTTTTAGTTTAATAATTTCTGTCATAATTTTTTTGCATTATTTTTAGAAACTGGATGATCTATCAATTTTTTTCTTATGAATGATTAGTTTTTTTTTTCTTTCCTCTGCAGTCCAATGTTTATGGGAAGCACAGCCACTTAAATTGCCATTTTATAGCAGTTTATTTTTTTAGCCATAGGTTAACTCAAAAACTAAATTGCTTCTAAATATTGGTTTTAAATTTGTTTTAAAAAATTATTTTTTTTTAGTTGAGGAATACCTTGACATCAAATATTGAGCTTAGATTTGTTTAATAAATATAATCTTCATCAATTTAATATAATGGACACTATTTCACAATATTATAGTGCATATTCTTTGCTAAACTTTAATTTCTTTTAATATTGGAGTGTAAAGATTATGCAAACTATTTATCTTCTTAGAAAAGCTTTAGTGGTGTACTTGATAATCAGTGTGAAATCACTATGCTATGAAATAAGGTTGTTTTTTTTAGGAATACAGTACAGAAAGAGCTGTTAGTTTTTGAATGTTTACTTTAGAGATAGCCATTAGTTTATGGATGTTTACTTTAGTAAATGCAATTCATTCATTCATTCACAAATGTTATGTTATGTCATTGAATGGTGTTGACCCTCTCTCTTGTTGTCAATGGCCGACAGTTGTGACAACACCATATTGCCTGCTATCAGTCCCATGTCCGCTCACCCCCCATGTGTGTTCTGCGAAGTCCTCTGCTGTGAGCAGTTCTAGAAAATACAATTTATTTTTTGTTTTGTTTCGTCTCTCGCCCCCAAGCAATTTTTTTAACAACCCCAACACAGCCCCACCCCCACCCCTCCCTCCCCCAGTTTCTAACCCTCGGGACAGCTCAATGAAATTGTACTTGATGCAATACAATGTTTTCTAAACTCTGAACACCAGGTATCTTCTCCATCCAGATTTTTCTTCAATAATTTTGTATTGTTTGTGTGCTTTATTTTGTCTAAATATTTAGTATAGAGTAGAAAGACAATCACCCCCCACCCCACTCCTCATAGATGTAGTTAATTCCCCTCTATCCACCTTCTTAAATATATTTTTTTTTAAACATAATTAGTTGTTTTAGAAATAGATTGATTAATTAATATCAACCCAATAGGATCGAATGATTGATTTTATTTGAAAACCAGATGCAATTATTTTCCTCAAGAATTGTCTGGATAGAATGTTCTGGCTTTATGAAAGTTAATGTAGACATCTCCGTCCAATGATTTTGTTAGTTGGTATTTAATACTGGCCAGAATTTTGTTAGTTGGTATTTAATACAGGCCAATTAGTTTTATTAGTTGGCATTTAATACAGGCCAGAATTTTGTTAGTTGGTATTTAATAGAGACCAGTTGATTTTTTTTAAAATATTAGTAACATTAATATTTTTTAATGATTTGGCAACAATGTCTAGTGGGTTTATTTTAAATGAAGGTAATTGAAGGTGGATGGAGTTGACTCCCCTTGGATTAGTTACAACAGAAGCTAGGTTAGCTCCCCTGTAGTTGAATTCTGTACATTTTGGTGTGTTTTTGTTACATGGTGTAGCCCAAGTTTCTAGTGCTCATTCATGATATATTCAACATGTACATCAATTTTATTTTCAAATGCATTTTAATTTATATATAAAATAGCTTTAGTTACACAAAATATTTTTTTGTATAAAAACCCAGTAAGAATAAATAATATGTATTCTTTTTAATATATTATTTTAAATTACACAATGTACAGGTAATTGTATTAATTATTTTTCACATGGTTGCTTATGTATCATGTGATTGACGACATTTCTTAATGCTCTAGTTCTGAGCATGCCTTAATTTGTAAACAATGATGTAGATTGTTTCGTTAATTGTATATATTTTATGAGTCACATTTTGCATGTGTAAAGTTTGTTTTTTTATTGTTGTTATGTAGTGGGCCTTTAGTATTATATACGGTACATTTGATAATGCTATTGCTGGGTTTTAGTTGGAAACCAAAATATAATGGAATGGTTTGTGGTTTGACTTTTGGACCATAAAAAACCTAAAAAGGAAGTGGTTGGTTTGCTGTGGACAAGATTTGCAATTTTTGCTCAGATAAGTTTGATGCCATGTATTTTTTTATGTAAAATAAAAGGGTTCTTGAGGAATTATTTTTAATATTACTAGTATATATTTATACTTGGAGTTTAATATAAATTATGCTGGTTATATTCCGCTTGTAAACTGACATGTTATTTTTACAATAATGGCTTGATTCAGTCATGCCTCAGAATTTCAAGTATAATGTGTGAGAAATCGTTTAATTTTAAATTTGCTTGTGAAACAAAGTGTCGTTGTTTTGATTTTGATCCTGTTTTATCAATTCATTTCTGAAGTTTAGCAAAATTTAACCTTTAAAAAGTTGGTTAAAAAAATTTTTTTTTTCTTCAAATAAATTGTTTGATCAAACTTTGTATTGTACAACAAGTAACCATCTAACTTCTGTGAATAGATTTATTTTTTTTATTTATTGTGGAGTCATTTCCCTTGTCACTTCCACATAATTTTTCTCTAAGAGAAACTTTCAATTCTTTGCATGCCATGAAGTCAATAAAACAAATCTGTAGTTGATAGCATTGCTCACCATCACAAGCTGGCTTGTGACCTTTACACCTGTACACAAATACTGCACTTTTTTTACTGCACAAATACATGGACGGAATGTTAGATGAAACTACATTCCTTTACAGTGTGAATATAGCTTTTAGTATATAACAATGTAGACATGTAGAGTAATCTCCCTTTAGCAGTGGGAGTATGTATATGTGTAGTTAAATGTAGGCGTATTGATTTGTGTTATCAAGCCATGCTATTGGTTTCATTGATGTCAGTTTCACTTCAATCAGTTGGTAATTATTGGGACAGTTTATGTAGCCTTAAGTTTGACTACGGGGTGATGGGTATGTTAACACCACATACAAAAACATTCCAAGTATTGTTTATTTCATACGTTGATTTTAGAAGAAAAGTTTTTTTTACTGTTTAAACAAAAAAAAATATTTGAGATGAATTTTATTTCAGCATATCATTGACAAACCTATTAGAGTAAATGATAAAATTAATGCAAAGATAAATTCAAGGAAAATCAATTTACATATCTATTTGCATATGTGTATTAAGAGGGGAGGGTGGTAAAAATTTTTTTTCAACATTGGAGTTAATGATGATTGTATTTTTTTAATTAAGCAAAAAAAAATGTTGGATGTAAACTCTGACCCCCCATATCATGTGTGTATTCCACTGATGAGTTCAATTGTCATTGGATAAGCCTGGTAATTTTACATTGGTTTTTTCCACATTGCAATGTATTACAACAGCATGAATAAGTAAGCCTTAAACACCAGGCAATAATAAACAATAGTGAACTTTTATCACTAGTAAAATAAAAGCCGCAAGTGTTATAGGTTAATTTTTTTTGCTGGGACAGCGTAAATATGTGTAAAAATATGAGTTAAGTCTGTAAGTTTGGTGGGGCTCTATGATTAAAATCAGCTGTGGGTTTCGGTTGAAGAAAATCAAAGCTTCATTACCATTCCTGAGAACTAAAGATAACTATGATGTGGGTATATGTAGTTATACTAAAGTTATAGGGTTTAGATTGCTCATTCCAGTAAAAAAAAAATTCAGAAATAAAAAACCAATTTCTAAATTTCCTAATTAATTGATAAAGTTTCTTAACATTATCACAGGATGAAGAAACATGAATTTATTTTATTGGAAAATTGGTTTGCTGCCTAAAAAAAAAATTTTAACAATCTGTTTTACTAGACACAATGTCTTGACCATTTTTCATATTGAACCAAGAGAAAACTACTCTACATTAAGACAAGCATTAGTATTGAGGGAGGGAGGTAAACCTGCACCAAGGGACGTCAACACTATACACCACGCTGGTAGTGGTGCTGCAAATATTTTTCCTGTACTTCCATCACAGCTTTGAAAAAACAACTCAATACAGTATTTCAAACTAAAGCTTACATTTTACTTTACTTGCCAACTGAACAGTATTGTTATTTAAGGTTTTAGAAGAAGTATTTTGGTTTGGAAAAAGTTATATTTCATAGAAAACTAGGCGCATTTGTTCTTGTTTTCTTGGTTGTTTTTTTTTTTTTAAATTCTGATGTAGACCTGAGGTTGAAACATTTGTAATGAGCATTATTTTTATTCAAGTGGGATTAATCAAAACTTAAAAATTTTAATTATTTTAATCAAATATACTATGTAACTTAAAATTTAAATTAATTTAACTTTTCAAAATAAGAACAGCAAGGCAAAAGGAAGATTGAATCCAGTAGTTAATTAGTAATTTGTTAGCAGTTAATTAGCAGTTGATACCAGTGCTTCATTTTGTATTTTAATTTTTTTTTTCATGACTGCCACAAACTGCTGTATCTTGGCTTGACTTGCCTCTGAGCACCTGGCAATGTGATTTCCAAATATAACATGCCAGGTTGTAATGTTGATTCATTGCCTAAGAACTTTTGTTACCTCCTTAAACAAATGAGTGTTAACTTGTAGTGGCCCATTGGTGTGTGTGTGTGTGCATGTGTGTGTCCTGGTGTTAGTGATCAGACTTTTGTAACAGTTCTCAAATGTTTAGATTTGTCCCTTCAGGATGTCCAGATCAATTTTTTAAGGGCACTTCTAAATTCACTTGTGCACTTAGGGACTGTAGTCAGTGATCTTCTAGTTCAGAGGTTGGCAACATGTGGTTTTGGAGCTACTTAAAGCTCTTTTGAATCAATATAAAAAGTAAAAAAAAAATGGAGAAAATATAAATCCCACTCCTTCTTTATTTGATTTTTTCTGTTTTAAATGCCCTAACTTTCATAGCCAGCTCCCTAAATATATTTATTTGGCTGAAATAATTTATAAAAATGGCTTTCTTCACTCATTAAGGATTGCTGACCTCTGCTCTAGTTAATTAATTGTTCAGATATTGTTTCAGATAGTTTCAAAATTAAAATTGCAGTTATATTTTAATTGTACTTGAATTTGAAATAAGACTGTCATACATTTAAGGTGAATTTATAGAAGTGATGATGTATATTGTATTTTTTTTTCCTCAGAATTTTGGGGAAAATGGTCTGGCCTGCATGTTAGCAAAATTTTTAAGTACTTGCGTAGGTTTGTGTCTTGTAAAGGAAGATAACTTTACAAATCCCAAATTTAAAATTAGAATTAAGTAGCAGCAAAAATATTAGCCCCCCCCCCCCCCCCACCCCCTTTCCATGACTTGTAAAGGGATTGACTTTTTACATAAAATTGTATTGTTACTTATATAATCATGTTTTTTTTTTCCTTGAATATTTTCATACAATTGTTTGTTTATATTCTCACAATAATTGTGTGTCTATAATAATGATAATAATGAAGATGCTATGTCTAATGACTTGGGGTGTCTGATGGTTTAGATCAATGTTATGTATTATTAAAATATTACACTTCTTTACTTGTTTGACTTACGTTTTTAAAAAATAGTCAACCACTGTTGATTGAGTATTTGTATACAGTTCCAAACTGTTGAATTTACAAACATTAATGGATTGTTGAATTTTAAACCCATAGTGACACTTAAAAAAAAAAAAAAAAAACCTTATTGAAGGGTTAGTAACCCATAATTAAACTTGCTGGTTAAAAAATGAGGAATAAAGGCATAGTATGTTACATAAACATACATGCACCATGTTATGAATCCTCAGGCAACATAAACACGTATGTGCAAACGGTGTATGAAGTAAGAGATATTCTTGGTGCCAGTAAACCATCTATCAACCTGGTAAAATATGTTTTAAACCATCAGCTGTATGTGATTATAAATAACACTGCACTTAAAACATGCACTTACTTTTTGTATCAAAGCACTGTGAGAGTTAAGTGACCTCTAACCCCAGAACAAAAAATCAAAATATCAGTTAAAAGTAACAGTGCTTCCATCTACTGAAATAGCGACCTCAAATTTTTGCCATTTTAAATCCTCTAGGCTTGGCTGGGTATTAGTTTTACTTATGATGTCAAATTTGAGCTAAGCAACATATTGTAGAGTAGATGTCATGTCATTCAGGAGCAATACCAAACAGGTGAATTTTATGTAGTCTGATTCAAACCACTTCGCATAATAGCTAATTGCCCAAATAATTACATTTCAAAATAAATGAATATATATTAAATCTATTTGTATATTTCCCTATATATATCATATGTGTGTGGGTGTGTGTATTATATATATATATATATATATATATATATATATATATATGCCATATATTAGTATAAGCAGAAATATGGTGAAAAAACAAAATGTAGGATATTAAAAAACAAGGACTGAAAATCAATTTAAAAAAATAAATTCAGAAAGCTTTTAGAAAATAGGTTAATTTTATATTCATGATCTGTAACAAAACTAATCTTCAACATAAAATATTATTGTAACGTTTGTAATAGTTCATCTAATACAAAAGATAATGCTCATATATTTGGAATGCCATCTCCTACTAAACAAACCAACAAAATATCTGTGCAGAGTTGGATGAATTGTTACATGGTTTCCCATTTGCTTGAGTCAACAGTTTATTCGAATTCAACAATTTTTACCACACCACTTGATTAAGTGTTTTTTTAAATCCTCATTACTGCATTGAGCTATAGCTTAAAACATCATCATTGCATTGAGCTATAACTTAAAACATTATTGCATGAGCTATTGCTTAATAATCATCATTGCATCAAGCAATAGTAAATAAAATAGCTTCAAAATATCGCCAGTCACTGCTTTGAGCCATGACGATAAAAGCAAGCCTGTGTTTGAAAGCTAGCTAGTCATCCAGCAGTTCAAATGTATTTTTATATTTCTGTGATCACAGATGTCTTTATTGTTTTAATGCTTACTCGTTCTTTGTTATCACAAAATATTCAAAGACATTTTTTTTCCTAATCACAGATGCATTTTCTTGATTCATGCAATAAAAAATCCTTCAACAGAAAAGAACTACTTTGACAGTTTGAGCAGGGAGGTAATGGTTGATCCGCCTCCATGTCCTGCCACCATAGGTGATCCACGTCATCCAGTTCTAGGATACAGTCTGTCAACTCCATGTCCTCACCCTCTATCAGTGTATCCAGGCAGGCGGACTCAAAACGGTCAAAGTTTTCAGTGGCCAGGCTAAGCAGGGGGTCGAGGTTAAAAGTGGGGTTGCGTCCCCTGCCGTTGCGCTGGTGGTGTAAGGTGATGTCGTGGAGTAGGCTGTGGCACAACGTTGACAGTTTTTTGGAATTCAGTCTCCTCGGCTTGTGTAATTTATTGCGTAATTTACGTGAGCCGGAGAATCTGTCTCGAACATTTTTTCTAAATTTTAATTTAACAACAAAACGGTCTTTATGTTTCAAGCTAAGTCTTTTTGCCTTGTGCGGGTGAAGAATTTTCTTTTTATTCGATGTTAAGGATTTAACTGAAGAAATGTTGTGCTTGTTCACAGTCTGTCTGTGATCTAACCTATCTCTAGGTGTGGTGGGAGGATGAAATGAGTCCATTTTATTTAAGTTCCATGAACTCATTGGGTTGACCTCCGACCTTTGAGACTGTTCACTTTTCACCATCTCCATTAGCACCTTAAAGACAAATCAAATCAAATGTGTAAGACTGGGATTAACAAAAATTAAATCCTAATTATCAAGATTTAAATTTTACAGTTTGGTTACAAATAAAAAAGAATTTTTTTCCCCAGTGAAAGTCATTCATTTTAGTAAAACAAAATTAGGGGAGATCACTCTTTACTCTTTAGTTCACCTGAAAATATGATTGAACTTTATTCTATAAAACACTCGCAAGCAGACAGGGACACATTAATAATTGTTAACTACCAGTAACCTTACATCCCTATTTTAAAAAGATTCTATTATCAGACACTGGTAAAAAAAAATAATTAATTCCACACATCTCTTATCATTTCTTATCACTCGAGGTACACAACAGAGGCTGATCATGAATAAAAACTTATTTATTAGTTTTAAAAAAAAACACTTAATGCAGGGTTTAAAAAATAATAGGCCTACTCACTAGTTTCTCATCAAATGTGTCGTTCAGCAGACGTCTCAAGACTTTAGTCATCTCCTGGGACTTGTGTATTTTCATGACAATTTTCTTCAGGTGAGTCGACTCACAGTTCAGTGCCTGCAGGTACACAAACTTCCGCCTCTCCCACTCCAACTCCATTTCTACAACAACAACAAAATAATTTAACGGTTATTTCCCTTGGACCAGGTTAGACAACTCTTAACTGCATCGTCTAGCATTACAACTGTGTGTTAGCTCACAGTAAAGCAAAGTCGATTGCAAATCAGCCTGATCGATATTAACCTTCATTGATTGGGTCTTGAATACTTGAATATTTATACAGTTCATCGTTATTTTGAAAATCTAAAAATAAAATTTACTTTGCTTACTTTCAGGAAGACCTTTTTACAAAAATGTATTAACACCCCCCCCCCCCCCCAAATCCCCACTTAATCAAGCGAATTCGCCTATCCTATAATCATAATGTTTTCAATGTAAAGGATCGTTGTATTTAATTAAGAGCCATGTTATTTTAATTAATGCAAGCCTACATTTCTTAGTATCTTTAATACACATTATGTTAATGTAAATTATGTATGCCTATTTAAACAGTTACTTTTTTTTTTTTAAAATAGGAAACAGCGACACACAAACGACAGGCAGATAAGGATTATTTGCATATCCAAGTTCTGCTGCAAGTTTTCTTAGTTATTAAACCTGAACAAAAGCCCGGATGTCGAAGAGTTGTGTAACCTGATTCTATTTTTAATCGTGTTTACGACAATACCAAATGTGTACATAGCCTCGAACCCACCGGTAATTTAGGGTACAGACGTGCTTTCAGCTGACATAAAACACACTTGCGTGTTCTTAATGACACGACTACGACGCACTATGAACTATGATTAGTGAGCATTCTTTAGATGTAATTTTAGCACTGTTAGCAATTGCTAGTTGACAAATAGTTCTTCGAAGCTTTATGACTAAACCTAGACCAACAGTGTGTTGATTTGTTGAGTCTGTTAATTTTCTTACAGAACAGCAATCTTTTATAGTTTGTCCATTCAGTGTTTCTTTCTGCCCTCTCTCCAGTGTGAGGGGGAGGGGTATTGTGGTATTGCATGTTCAACTAAAATCTCATTCACAAGTATTATTTTTTTTTTGTTGGAAAATTGCTCACGACAGACAGGGGGGGGGGGGGACATTTAAATTCTTTTTTTAAAGGAAACTATGCTAAACGCATATGAGTTTTTAAGTAACACTTGCTCAACTTAAAGTGCTATGCGTTAAGCTAGGAGGAGAGAGAGGTGGGGGAATTAACACATTGTAGAACAATGTATGGAAAAAAAAAACTAAATAGATACTGAATATTAGCAAGAGTAGCTGACTTAAAGAGTCATAAATACATAAATGAACGCTTAAACCGTGCTCTTGTGGGTAGATACGGTTCTATGAGAGTGCCTAACACAAGTCAGCTGATCAAAGGTGTTTACCGACACTATGTGTGGGGGGGGGGGGGGGCTGCACTTGTTGTCTCCTCACCCCTGTATTGATATAGGTCACGTGACTGAGGTTTACTAACACTAACACCAGACATAAACAGGATATGTATAAAGTCTATCTCACCCATACACCCCTCCCAACAACATCTAATAATTGTGATTCACGTTATCTTAGAAAAGCGCACACTAAAATTAAACTTCATTAATTAATTAAGATGCACATCTTAAACTAAATTAAATCTACCCAGGAATCAATAGTCCCAATAAGCCAGCGTGATCGAACATACCTAATCGTTCGATCTGTTCGTCTAGCACCGACTCCATCACAACCAGCGAATGTAGACATTCAACAGCGAGACCCATGTCCATTGTGATGTTTGAGTTGTCTACCCTGTATAGGAGGGGAAAAGATATGAGCATGAAAAGGCTTGGGTTATCGAACTTGTTCAAGGGAAATAATCTAAGTTATGAAACATGGGAAGTAAATCTGTATTACAACTGCTCAAATAATCGAAATTGTTCTTACGAAATAGTTCATTACTTAAAAGTTCTGGGTTATCGAATTTTCTAGAAAAATATTTAGCCTTCATAATGGAAAGGGGAACTAAGGCATTTAACAAAAATCCACAAACTAATTAAGCTGAGACATCACACGTCAATGGTACTAATCTTAACACAGACTTACGTTTTATATATATATATATATATATATATATATATATATATATATATATATATATATATATATATATATATATATATATATATATATATATATATATATATATATATATATATATATCGCATATAAAAATGTTCCCGTCCCATCAGCTGTAACTAATGGTTTGCAATAAAACAAAAACACGAATCTTTTCTTTTTTTTTTTAATAAAAGAGATTTGTCTAAAGCCAACATTTTTAAACACTTACTAAAGTCGAATAAAAATCAATATATTACATTTCTATAGATAATCCCGATCATCCCAACACAGCGTGTGTGTTTTGTGCACGGCAAGCATGATATTACACGTAATATTCTCTTCACACACATACACAAATACCTTCCATACACACACATCTCTTTGCCAGTTCAGTGATTCTAGAACAACGTGCAATATCTGGTACCATTTTTTCACCCCAGGAAACACCGTTAGCTTTTGACCGAGACGAAAGGCGAGAAACGAAAGTCGAGGAACAAGAAACTCTGAGGGTTTTCCCCGTAAGGCGTAACTAGGTCAGAGAAGAAATGTTTCTACAGAAAACAAACAGAGCACGTTTTTTCCACACACCTACACACAATTTTATAAGATATTTTTAAACGTTTGATTGCTCGCTTTATACATCCAGCTGTTATGTTTTTTTTATTTTTATTTTCTCAAAAAATGAGAAAAAGATGTGTGTGATAAGGGATTTCGAGTTATAAATTCTTAACCTCTCTTCCTTTAAATTATGTTACAGAATATTAACTTACATTATATTATTTAATATTGGCTTGAAGAGAGTTGTGTTTTTTCCCTTACGTGCAGTTTTAACGACATAGGAGCTTTGACCTTTCGAATCCATATTATAAACAACAAAAAACACCTCAGTGTTTATTTTTGTTTTCGGCACATAACAAACTGCACTCTAGGCTAAAAATAGATCGTAGACACTGTCAAGAATCTACGTCACCGAGGTGCCATCCAACAGACAAGAGCACGCAGACGACAATGGACTTGGAACAATACAAGACATTAGAGGTAGAGGCACAGCTGTAAAACGGGGGAAGGAGGGGGGGGGGGGGGGGCAGGTGTCGGTCTATTTGCCTTTCTTCTTTGTAGGGCTGATCAAATACACAATACAACACACTACCTCGTTATGTGTGTTTTTGTTTTAAGGTGCCTCTTATTTTTCGGTTCACTGAGTTTAATTTTACATGGTGGATCATAAGAGAGTTTAGACCTTCTTGCCTTTTTTTTTCTTTTGAAGGTAGTCTAGAGGTATGCAGCCATTACACCCCCCCCCCCCCCCCCACCTTTCCCCTTTAAAAAAATGTGATGTGATTCAATAAAGAAAAAACAAATTAAAAGGAAGTAGGGTTTATTTCGTGTTGTGCAGAGGGGGGAGGGGCACTATCCAAAACCAATATTCGAGATAATCCCAACCACAAATCAATGTCCTCACAGCACCATCAATATAATTGGTTGGGTTTAGGACAGTTTATGTGAGCTGAAATTTCGAACATCATGTCGCGTTAAACACCTGTGATAGGTGTGTGGTTGGGGGGGGGGTATTATCAGTAGCGTTCAAAGGTCAGGGAGAAGGCTGAGGTGTGTGCGTGGGGGGGGGGGTGGGGGGGGTATTGGCAGTAGCGTTCAAAGATGAGGAAGGGGGCTGTGGTCCGCACCGGGTGACACCATCTATGGGGTGACACCGAGTCAAAAATAGTAAAAAATATATTTGTAAATACAATGTTTTATCCTGTTAAAATATCAAAATGGTAAGGGAGATGAGTAAGTAACATCAACCCGAAAATTTTAGAAAAAAAATGTTGGTTGGGTTGGGGGTGGGGGGTAACAACCGCACCAATCGACACTCGTCCTAGGGACGCCACCTCTAAGAGGAAGTCTGGCCGATCAGTGAATCGAGACGGTATGAGACAGCAGCAGACAGCGGTGTTAAGACCCGGCTTGTCAGCCGTTTGAGGTTGATCTCAGTCACGGTTCACTGGCTCTAGTTAGCCCTGTTGGCTGATCAATCGAAGCAAACACTGAACGGAGTTAGTTAGTTACACGACGTATCTGTGTGTGTATGTTTGTGAGTGTGTGTGTATGTTTGTGTGTGTGCGAGACTGTGTGTGTGTGTGTGTAATCCCATAGGTGTATATGTGTCAGCGCGTGTATATTTGCGTGTATGTGTGTTGGGTGTGTAACCTATATGTGGCAGTGAGTGTGTACGAGTGTAGTATGTATGTATTTATGTGGCGGTGTGTATACGAGTACGTGGAGTCTATATGTGTGCAGGCACTTGAAAGTGATTATGTCTATACACGACAAGCCAATAGAATTTTCTACCTGATCGGTCTCTTCTACACAAAACAGGCCTGCATTATGTTGTCAGTAGACGCGGGTATTATGTGCCTACCTACAGGACCTACGACATCAGGACCAATGACATCAGGCACTAAGTCACCAAACACAGGTATTATGTGTCTACTTACAGGACCTACAGGCACTAAGTCACCAAACATGGGTATTATGTGTCTACCTACAGGACCTATGACATCAGGCACTAAGTCACCAAACACAGGTATTATGTGTCTACTTACAGGACCTACAGGCACTAAGTCACCAAACACAGGTATTATGTGTCTACCTACAGGACCTATGACATCAGGCACTAAGTCACCAAACACAGGTATTATGTGCCTACCTACAGGACCTACGACATCAGGACCTATGACATCAGGCACTAAGTCACCAAACACAGGTATTATGTGCTTACCTACAGGACCTATGACATCAGGCACTAAGTCACCAAACATGGGTATTATGTGTCTACCTACAGGACCTATGACATCAGGCACTAAGTCACCAAACACAGGTATTATGTGTCTACAGGACCTATGACATCAGGCACTAAGTCACCAAACACAGGTATTATGTGTCTACCTACAGGACCTATGACATCAGGCACTAAGTCACCAAACACAGGTATTATGTGTCTACAGGACCTATGACATCAGGCACTAAGTCACCAAACATGGGTATTATGTGTCTACCTACAGGACCTACAGGCACTAAGTCACCAAACACAGGTATTATGTGTCTACAGGACCTATGACATCAGGCACTAAGTCACCAAACACAGGTATTATGTGTCTACTTACAGGACCTACAGGCACTAAGTCACCAAACACAGGTATTATGTGCCTACCTACAGGACCACATCACAATTCAGGCACTAATGATGTGAACGCCCTAACGTGCCATGATGCGATAATGACACCACCCCCCCCCCACATTAGCCTACATTAGTTTGAAATATATTTTTTTCGCACAAAAGACAACACAAGTATACTTTAGCACCGCCTCCCATCACATTATTTAAACGATCTTTAACGTAAAACTAGCTCGATGGTACAGACAACTAGGTTTATCGGTAGTTATCGATCACCACGATAACAATTGGAAGCTATTTTAGCTTGCAATGATGTTCAAGCCATAATATTAATCCATACCATACCATAACCTTTACCTTAAAAAAATTTTAAATGACGATACTCCGTATATAGCCTATACAAGAATGTAATTATATAGGCATACTGTAATATATTGCTCAGTGGCAATCATAGGCAGTAGACTAAGAAAATAATAATAGACGAATATTGACCACAACTGGCTAATTTTTAAAGTTATCCTAGTTCTGCCTAGTTCTCCTTCTCCTAGGTAAATATAAGTGTGAAAACATTACCTAGGTATCCTTCTCCTGGTTAAATGTGTGAAAGTGTTACCTAGGTATCCTCCATGTAACAGAGTGTAAAAGCTTGATCTAGGCCTCGGTCGGGTAAAGGTGAGTGAGTACAAGAAAGATGTTTGAGTTAGAGTTCAAAAACTCGATCACTTTCTGGATTAAGATAATCCATAGCGGGAATAGTTTCAAAATAAGACTTCACGGTCGAGTAATCAGAGAAAAAATAATATATTGTTCTCACCATGCCCCACACTTACCTTAATTTTTCTTAAAGGTGAGGGGTGGGGTGGATTGAAAGAATGAATGTGTACATAATTATTTTTTTTGTAGTTATATTTTTCTATTCTATAAATAAATGCATGCTAATTTTGCTAAAGAAAGACACTAGATCTAGCTCTTTGTACGCTTTTCCTAAGTTTCACACATTCGCTACAAAGAGTATGCCATACATTATACACGATACAGAAAGGTAACGTAACAAACTATGACTGAGTAATAGTTTATCTTTAAAGTGCATTATTTTTCCTTGTCATGCTCTACTAAATTAAACTTACGTAAGCTCCTTTTTTAAAAAGATTTATTAATATGTATACTGTATTTCAGAACACTAACTATTTTTAAACTATCAGCTGAAATAAGTTTAAAAATAAAACTAATATTAAGTGAGAAAGATGAAAAACTGTAACAACACCTACCGGCTCATTCAGTTGTTTTGCTACCGAGGAAGTGAAACGCCCCCTTTTTTTTCAAAACAGCACAGTGTGCTGTGGACTTGAGAGTTCACCGGTGACCTACTTAACGTGACACGGCTCTAGTAAAAATACAAGTGAAGATCTCTGTCACAAATGTCGTTGTTCGAGAAAAACATCTCACTTTTATAGCATGGAGTGGGCTAGAAATTGCCTGGATTAAATTAATGCTTGATGATAAACTCTATGCGAACAAAGGCCGAATGCGAATCAGCTGTTCAGCCGGCATTAATTGACTGCTAGGACTGGTAACCACCTCGTGCTCGTGTTTTTTTTCTTTATGCGCCATTTGTTGAATGGGTCACATGATGTCTTTATTGTTGTTACCGCATTCGTCGTATTTAGGTCACGCTAACCAAGGCCATTGACTGAATCACTTAGTGGGAAAATAATAAGTAATGTTTACCGTAGCTGATTTAGATTACATTTCGGCTGATTTGTCTGTATGGCGTTTAAAAGGTGAATGTCTTTTAACAGAACTAAGGAATAAAATTAGAATACAAAAGTGTAGGAAATAAAACTAAGTTAGTCACAAGTTTTAATTTTAACCCAACAGCAATTTTTTTTTTCGGTTTCGATTTGATAATTAAATTTTTTGTAGACTGTAAACATTTGACAAGTATCCAGGTCAGTGTTTACCAGAGTGATGAGATGCAGGCTTATCGCATTGTTGTCCCACTTCAGTTGTTTACTGGCCAGGGTTCGAATACCACTTGGTAGGATACTGATGTAGATGGAATGATAAAATGCTGATGTGCTCTAAACACAGGGTTGGGCTACGACGGGTTTAAAATAACAAAATAAATTCTTAATGGATATACGTTATACTGTTAAACTTACACACTCAACCCATAATGCTTTCTTTAGTCCCTAATCGTTTAATTTCTTTAGATTTACACACACACACACAAATATTCAAGGCAATTGTTTAATTTTAACCAGTGTCTGATGTTTGATAACATGTTCACGTGTTGTTATTTTTCGATTCACATTTAACCTTCCTCATTCCACGGATATGTTGGTGCACTTCTGGTTTGATACAACCTAGCTAACCACACACAACCTAGCCACACACAACCTAGCCACACACAACCTAGCTAGCCAAACACAACCTAGCTAGCCACACACAACCTAGCTAGCCCTACACAACCTAGCCTACACAACCTAGCCCTATACAACCTACCTAGCCTACACAACCTAGCCCCCCCCCCACACACACACACAACCTAGCCACACACACACACACACAACCTACCCACACCTAACTAGCTCCGGACAATGTAGCCGCACAAAACCTAGACACACAACCTAACTACACAACCATATACACACCATATATCACAACTGTCAAAGCAAGTTTTTTATAGGCTTACTGCCTTTCATAACGATTTTATACTGACTTACGAACTGAAATTTAATTATAATTTTTTGTGTGTTTCCCTTTCAAACCTGACGGTCTTTGGGGCAAGTGAAGTAGAGTTCACTTGTTTCTGTGACCTCAGCATATGAAGAGATAGTGTGGTCAGCACTATGCCCAGCCGCCTTTACTTTCCCTAACGTGAGTTAGGTACCCATCAGAGTTTGGTGGACTCAGGGGCGGTCTACTGATTTGAACCCGGATTCGAACTGGAGACTTACGGGTTATTAGTCCAGCTCTCTACCGCTAGATCACTCCGTCTCATGTAATTATAATTAGCCAACTTGTATTTAGTAATATGTAATTAGTCCACATGTATTTAGTAATATGTAATTAGCCCATCTCTATTTAGTAATATTAAATCTACCCGTTTACACATGCTGTTGACTATTATAATTCCTACAATTAATTTTGATTTTCTGTTGTATCAATTTTTTAAACTTCATTAGCTGGTCATTGATCTAGTAATTTTTGTAATGCTGAATTTGTTTTGCTCTTCTGTTTAAACAATGAATGGTGCGGGTAGCTTAATTAACATTCAAAATTGGGCTAAGTTTAACATTACGTGGGAAGGATGTGGTTTAACAATACATTGGACTAAATTTGACTTCAAATGTAGGGGTAAGTGAGTACGGTCTAACGTTGGGCTAAGTTTAACTTACAATTTGAAAGATTTGGTTTAACACTGGGCTAAGTTTAACTTAACATTTGGAGGATGTGGTTTAACAATTGGCTAAGTTTAACTTAACATTTGGTGGATGTGGTTTAACATTGAGCTAAGTTAGACTTCAAATGTAGGGGTAGGTCAGTAAGGTTTAACACTGGGCTAAGTTTAATATAACATTTGGAGTGGCTAAACTTGACCTACTAGTGTTCGCGTGAAGAGAATGAAATTACTGAAATGGGATGCACTGATGACCCGAGTATAATTTGTCACTTCCTAGGGTAACGACCACGCGGTTCAAAGGTCAAAAGCGAGTTGGTCTTGTGATGATACTTGATACAAAGTTTGAGTAGTAACAGCTCACCCGCCTCACATGGGTTCGAGTACAGGTCAGCCGACAGTTTACCAGACAATTCTGGGTCGTGGTTTAAAGTACTTGTCACTTCGGGGTTTGAAGCCACCTCTGGGTTAGAGTACTGGTCAGTTGAGCAAAATTTTCCAACCAACCATTCGATTGTCAGGGACCTACTTCGGGTTCCCTTAAAATAGATTGACCTTACTCATAATTGTTAATGGCCAAACAGGCAGAAATTCTTCTTCTTCTTCTTCGTTCTTAATTGAGAATATGGTGGAGGATTTAGACAACAAGTCCAACTTCGTGAACAAACCGGACTGTGGTCTCCAGATCAGCAGGTTCCCCATACAATTTTTCCCTGAGTGGGGTGAGCAGGGGCCAGTGTCTGACTCGCGCCTGGCTATACAAAGAACATTCCTGAAGGACGTGCTCCGTATTTTCCGGGGCCTTGCCACAAGGGCACATTTCGCCACACCCAACCTTTATTTTTTTATGCATGTGTTGATTTAGTCTGTTATGGCCTGTTCTAAGTCGAAAGATTATGTTTTGTTGTTTTCGTGTCAAATTATAATATCCATCATCTTTATTGTAGTTGTAGTGAGGGTGGGGCAGAAATAAAAACTCTGCATTTTCTGGTTGCAGTGTTTCTTTTAGGAAAGACACACTGCCTGTTAGGCTAAAGTAATGTAGTTGTCCTTTTTTCCCTTTGCACCATGTATCGATAAGTATGCACTTCATAATGTTTAATTAAGTAACCGTTTTTATATGAACACTTATATTTGAATTTCCCTCCCCTTATCTTTACACGTCAGTGTAGCAAAATTCAACCAAAAATTATCCTTTTCACTCTATTATTGGCCTAAAGACAATATAAAATTAATAGTATTTTTTTTATACTCATCACCCCCCCCCCCCACCCAATCTTATTATAGAAGCCTAAAACTCCCCCTAGAAGTGCGACGTCATTTTTATACGACACATGATACTATAGGCATACACTACATATGAATACAGTTATGTAATGATTGCTATTTTATTTTAAAATGGTAACACATATTTTACACAGTTATCTAATCTCATTAAAAGTAAAAGCAATTGATTATTATTTTTTTAACAAGTACGGCAAAAAAACAAATCGCTTGCCCCTCCTACACAGCCCGCGGTTACAACACACTGGAGTAGGCGGGACGCTGATCCAGCGCTACACATAGCAACAGTACTGACGCACCGGAAGCTCTCGTTTTTAGACTCGCGTCCTCACCCACCCCTCACGAGACGCCGCGTCATGGTTTCCCAAAAGTGATGTCATAACTTACTCAATTCGCTTACTCTCCCCTGCCCCTCTACTTTCTGAAATCTTGTGAAGCATATGTGATGAATGCTATAGTTAGTCTGCGGGGAGGGTGGGAGGGGGGGGGCATCATTTGTCCAAGGTTGTAAGTTGATTACATTACCGTCATTACGTAATGCTTTAAAGTCGAATTGTCTTGTCAAATGTCGAATTGTCGTGACAAATGTCGGATTGTGTCAAATGTCGAATTGTCGTGTTAATGTCGAATTGTCGTGCCTATTGTCGACTTTGTTAGCAGTGTTTCTTCCAGACTTTTTTCTCCGGGGGGGGGGGGGGCACTTCAAATTTTCGGGGGGGGGGGGGGGGGCGTAGACTTTCTCCGGGGGCACGGACTTGTTAAAAGTATATATTTTCTATATAAATTATATAAATTTCATTTCGTTCCGGAGGGGCGGTAAAAAAATTTCGGGGCTTTGCCCCCCCCCCCCCGAAGAGATGCCTGGAAGAAACTCTGTTAGGTGTCTACATTTTTAAAGACAAATTTATGTTTTGTGATGTCATATCTCACGCTGTCTGGAAACGGTCCACAAATCTCCAGAAACTTCTAGAAATTGTCCAGAAATCGTCCAGAAACTAGGCCTATTTTTTTCAAACAACAATCATTAATTGACGAAACGACAATAATTAAGGACAATAATTACTTTTTTAAAAAAATAAATTACTTTTCTTAAATAGGCCTACACATGTTAAAAACCATCAATTATTTGTTATTTCACAAATAGTATTACATTTTAGTTTTTACTATAATGAACAACGTTTATATGTTTACTGTAGCTTTGTATGTAGTGGTGTCCGACGGACATTGCCCTACCTCAGCTTAGATACAGAGGGTACCCGGGTAAAGTGTTGGCTGACGATGGAGATTAGCCAGATGGAATGTTTGATGTGTTATCGATTAGCTGATTGTGCCTGCAGTTATCGATCAGATGATAACGTTGTCGAGATTTGATATCTCGATGACCCGGTCAAGGAGGTCTGAGGGAAAAAGAATTGGAATGGTACATTCTAGAATGTAATTGTTATGGAGATAAAGGTTTGACCTAGGGGTGGATGTTGGGGTGGGGGTGGCAGTAGAGGTGGGGTGATTGTGGAGATGGCAGTGAGAGGTGGCAGTAGGAGTGGGGGTGGATGAGGGGGTGGGGTGGCAGTGGGGTGGAGTGGAGTGGATGTCGAGATGGCAGTGAGGGGTGGTAGTAGGAGTGGGGGTGGATGAGGATGTTGGCATTAAGGGTAGGGGTGGATGTGGAGGTGGAGGTGGGGGGTGGATGAAGGGGGTGGGAGTGGAGGTGGCAGTAAGAGTAAGGATAGATTGGGAGGTGGGGGTGGAAGTAGGGGTGGGGTGGTTGTAGAGGTGGGGGATTGCATTCGGTATGGGGAGGTAGGGGTAGATGTAAAAGGGGATGACATTAGGGGTGGGAGGTAGGGTGGATATAGAGGTGGGGGGATGGCATTAGGGGTGGGGGTGGCAGTATGGGCCGGG